ATTACGCTTATGGAGATCAGTGTTGCCAAAACTCTCAGACACTCTCTTTTGCACGGATGTCCAAGATATTCCCTTTGCTTAATTTTTGAATTTTCATTTTGAATTAACATTTAACTGTAAAGTCAGAATAACTACTAAATAAAAGCCTTATTATCATAATGTAGTCAGAGAACGACATAAAATAGCTGACATACGCACATCGTATTATTTTAAGTTGCAATTAGTAATTAGATATACGCATTCCAAGCCGTCAATATTTTCTACTGATTTCTATGATTCATGGCATATCGTATTCTCACCGAAAAACAAATAAACTGTCGTTACTATAATTAAAATAAGATAAAATAAAATTATCTTTTGTAAATAGTATTTACCTAATTAAAATCATTTTCCCTACTTTTCATCTCTTGTTTCGAATGGGCACTTTTGGTCAATTACGTTAAAAAACATTAATTTAATTCATTTTTGTGGAAACAAAAATACAAAGTACACAACCCTAAATTGTGCTTGTGTGTGTCGTGGCAACGCCGCGTTGTTATCGTTCATAAGAAATACATGGCCCTATATCCGCAATGTTATTTTCTAAATGTGAAACGTAGTATAGTGTTAAAATAAAGTTTGGGTTTTATACGATATGTCGACGTATGTGCGAGAGGCAATATGTAAAATGACATACGGTGAAGGTAGTTGTGATGACAGGCTTGAGGCACATTCTGACTATCAAAACATGCCCTTACGAATTTTAATGCGTATTTATGGGTTTGTTACAGATAATAGTGAGAAATTATAAAAATAAAACAGAACGAGGTCAGAGTAATATAGACAGTTACGAGTCAGCCTCGTTAGATGTTAAGTCTGGACCATGAAGTTTAAGACAAGCAGCTGAATATAGTTTTAACCAGATGTCCTTAATTGGATATATAAAAAAAACAACAAACCAATCCAGATAAAGCAGTGGAAATGGGTTACAAAAGGTCTCAGATAATATTTTTACAACAACAAGAAGAGGAACTATGTGAATAGCAAAATTCAAGTAGGAAAAATATTTTATGATATTAACTTAAATAAATGAAAAGTTTAGCTTTTGAATTTCCTATAGCGAAAAAACTTTTAGTACCGGAGAGTTTTGTAGCATTAAAACAAGACATTAATTATTGGTTTACAAATGTCATGTAGCATAACAATAATGTGTCTATTAGAGTTCCTGAGGCTAATAACTTAAGTCGGATTACAAGTTTTAACAAGCACAATTTCGGGCTCTATCTTCATAACCTAGAATTAGTATTAAGTCAAAACCATTTTACGGATAATGGTATTCGGAATATAGACGAAACTTTGCCTCCGGTAAGTGCTGGGTGGATTGAGTAGCTTAGTAAATGCCGGTGCCGGCCCAAAGTACAGATAAAGGAGAAGGGTTGAGGCGATATACTAGCAACTCATCTCTTGTCAAAAGAAATAAATGCTAAAAATTTAGACCAAAAGCCTCGGATTACAAAGGATGTATCAAAACAAAGACGACTAATGCAACGGAAAAGGAAAATGATATTATTTACATGGAATGTACGAAGCAAACGGGCTAAGAACCAAACAAGCAGAAGTATTCAAAGAATTAACTAAAGGAAAAATAGATTTATGTATTCTCACTGAGACCAAGAAAATGGGAAAAGGAAATGAAGAAATATAAGAATATATACATATCTACAGTGGAGTGAGTAAAGAAAAATAAAGAGCTAAGAGAGGAGTCTCTATTGCCATTCGAAAAAATTTAAAAACAATTTTAAATCGTGGACTAGAGTAAATGAACAACTACTAAAACTGGAAATGAAAAAGAATAAACACAACATCGTAATTGTCGGAGTGTGCCCCAGATGAAGACGCAGGTCCAGAAAGTAAAGCGCTTTCTACAACAAGATGAATGAAATACTCTCTGAATATAAAGAAAACTGTGAAATCTTTATACTAGAAGATTTATAGATTTATAGATTTTATTGTAGAAAGATATAGGGAACAAATAACCAATGACAACGGAATGCGTCTTAGAGATATTTTTGTAAAAGAATGTCTCTCAAAATTATGAATGGATTTTTTCAACATAGAGACATTCAAAAATTTATATGGAGTATAGAAGAGGGACAAGAAGTAAAATCCCCTAAATATAACTTAGAAACCTTAAAAGAAGAGTAAACGAAATTTCTTTACAAATTACGACTGGCCATAGAATTATAAAATGTGCATCGAGAAAATATATTAGCGGAAAAATTATACCAGCAACTTAAAAAATGCATTGATGAGGCTGCAAGTGAAGCTTTGGAGTATAAAGACAAACATAAAACAAAAAATCAAAAACAGTGGTTGGAAAATATGCAAACGTTAGTAAATAAGAAGAAAACTGCTTATCAGAAATGGATGTCAATGAGAAAGGAGAAAGATTAGAAGTTACATAAAAATTAAATCGATGTGTAAAAAAAGTAGTAAAAAGTAAAAAATGAGATGTGGGATCGAAGATATGCCAAAATGGATAGGTATAAGGGTGGAACAAGAGTTGGGTAATGTGAATTGGGGAATAAGTCTCTCCAATGGGAAGGATAGGAAAAATCGTAACTTACAGTTAACAGATATGAATACACTATTATGAGGTCTTACTGACAGAAAATAGTTCTAAATTCCAAGAGATCGAACTGAAAGAAATATCCAAAAATACACAAATAATTGACATAACAATCAAAGAGTTAAGCTTTTCTCCAAAAGTCGAAAAACGGTAAAGCAGCAGGACCTGGAGACATCCCTATTGAGTTGGTAAAGTATGGACCAAAAATATTACATGAGATGTTGGTTCAACTATTTAACAAATGCTTAAAAGAAAAAATATTCCTGATGATTGGAATGTATAATTAAAATGTATACTGAATTATAGGGGAACAACTGTTATCAGCTTAGTGAGAAGGTTATATAGTCAAATATTAAAAGAAAGAATAAAATCAAAATACGAAGTCCTAGAAGAACAAAATGGATTTAGCGCAGGAAAATCGTGCACTGATGATGTATTCGTTCTGCAGCAGGTAATCGAAAAACGGAAGGCAAGGAATATATCCACCTACCTATTGTTTGTATATTTAGAAATGGCATACGATAGGTACCTTTGAAAAAATTGTTTCAAACATTGACAAAAGTAGGTCTTAGTAGAGATTATGTGAAAGCTATCGCAAATATATACAAAAATGCAAGAAGTGTTGTTGAAGAAGGAAACTTTATGTCTGAATTATTTCTAATAACAAAAGAACTTAAACAAGGATATTGTTTATCTCCGACCTTAATTAAATTATATATTGAATCATCGCTAGAGCAGTTGAGGAAATAAGTATCTGGAATGTGAATAGACATAGACGGTAATAAATTTCTAACAACTTTATTTTTCGCAAATAATCAGGTAGCCGTAGGGAATAATAAGGAAGACATGGATTACATGTTCAGAAAACTAAAGAAAGAATATAAAAAATCGAGCCTTAATATAAATATGTCAAAGACAGGGTATCTGAAAATAGGTGGTGATGAAGAAGATCCAGAGTTAGAAATTGGAAACACAAAAACATGAAATGAATATAAATATCTCGATATCTATAATAGGATCTATAATACCTACAGGACGCACTACCAAACGAGCCATCGAAAAGAGAACGCAGCATGAAAAAAAAAAACCGGTAAACATTCTAAACTCTCTACGGTCTAAAGATATTATATAAGAAACTAAATTGACACTCTGTCAGAGACAATATGCAATTTAGAGTTAGAAAGGAATGAAAACAACAAAGTGCAAAAAACAAAACCAAGCAAAAATGATTTTACTTACAAAAACTATTGCGTGAGGAAAAAACCAGTTCTTATCTTACATTAATTGATTCCATAGTCATATTGATATAACAATAGAAATGGACCATAATCAATCCTTAATTTTTTTTAAATATAGACTTGAAAACAAATATGAATTCTCCTATTTTAATAAAACAAGCCATATTAACATAACAGAATATTTTCATTCCATTATCTTTTCATTATATTTTCATATAATTCATCATCCTATTCTGCACAACACAAATTAGTAGCCTACCATAGGTCAATACATAGATTCACAGAAATTCCTCCGTCAAAAAATTAAATTAAATACTATTAAGCAAATAGCAATAAACAATGGGTACAACATACACACAATAAATAAAATTTTAGGCCAAAAACTTCATAAGAAAGACCCAAACTTAAACTTCCCCTCACCAGAGAAAAAACCCAGTACCTTTTGCTTGATGACATATACAACATGATATTAAGAAATATGCCCAAACGCATAAAAAAAAATAAAACCAGCTTTCAGAACAAACAATAAGTTAAGCAAATATATTAAATTAAGAACAACTAGACCCAGAAGAAAAAGCACTTACGCAGTGGTGGATACAAATTACATATGGTGAAATCCCAAAAACTTACATTAGTCAAACTTGTAGAATCTTTAACAAATGCATAGCAGAACAGAAAATAGCTTTCAATAATAGAAAAACAGATTCTACATACGCAGTTCAACTTCTTGATCATCACAATTCTTTTAGTGACCGATTTCAAATCCTCCATATATAAAATAAAGACCATAAGCTATTTTTATTTGAGTATTTGGAAATTAATATATTAAAAAATTCAGATATAATTCTAAATTGGAAAAGGACTGTATAAATTGTACAGATTTATAAAATATAGGTCAAACTGGAATATGTGTGTGTTTTCAAAAACATAATGGTGTGTAAAATCATCGGAGTTTCTTATAGAGAGCAATATTTTATAAGTATTTTTTATATTAATTATACAGATTAAAAAACTTACGTTTTATAGGAGGTTATAAATACCTCACGGAAAGTAATTGCCAATACAAAACACAGTAACACATTAAAAGATCAAAGCCTTTTCTCTAAGCATTATTCCTACAACAAAGGCCCTAGATGGTGATACTATATAGTTACCTTAAATCGAAGTTCTCCAACAGGCGCTTTTCCAAACGGTATCCCCAAAAATGCATAAAAATTATCACCGTTTAGATTTTTCTTTTGAAACCCTTTAAGTTTGCCATCACAGACAGCTACAACTGGAGAAGCCATCTTTCAATTTTAGGTTTTTTACGTACACTAGAAACAAAAAATCTGACTAAAAACCTTATACTGGAGTGCGAATATTATGATTTGACATGAATACTGTAAAATCGATACTATTTATATACATAATTTGTAAATAACAAACTACCTTAAACAAAACCATTGTGGGATATTCCTGATAAGGCAATAACTGGAACAGAGGCGGCTTAAGGTTTTTTGGAATGTACAAATATGTATTTACCTCCTGAAACTTCCTGCAAAAGAATGACAATTCTTTGTTATATATCCTTAAAGAAAGTTATAGGCTCATTAGCACCAAGATAGTTCTATCATGAGAGTGCTATTAAGAAAGTGATACTGATAGCACTGTCACATTTGTGTAACAGTTTACATAGATTGGTATTCTGTAATAGTATAGTTCGTATTGAAAATGGCCAATCAAGAATTGGTGATATCTAGCTTTAGCTAGTGTTATAGGTAATATTAATAAAATAAAAAAAAGTGCAAGAGGTGCAGAAGTCCAATATCCAAGAAGTTTTTAAAAAGTTTTAAGTATAATTAAGGAGAACTTTTACATATTAGTTGACAATGTACGTAAAATATATCATTTTTACAGGCTACATTTTTATTTTTATTTTATTTAGTTAGCAATACTACTAGTGGCAGCACTTACAATACAGAAAAGTAATATAGTTATGAGGAAAGCACAGCACAACTGTAAATAGAAATATATCTTGTACCGAGTACCAAGATGGACGGTAAGCCAGTTTTTACCAGATGTTTTTGATGTATTTTTTTAAGTATTAAATGAATATATACAGGTAAAAACTATACTGTTTTCTATATTCTGTTCATCATTATTTTGTGTTATCTCCGCATGTAGTGTGGATGGATGTTATATGAATGTTATATTAGAGTCATAAATAATTTGTGAAGTAGGTCTAGATGAGTAGCGAGAATATTGTGATTCTGAAAAGAAAACAGAACAGCAGTTCTGTTTTTGTGAGTTTGGTTTAAGAGCAAATGTAGAATTAGATGTGGATAAAATAACAGAAGTGCTCTCCTGACGAGTTGTCTGTAGTAAACTGAGAAGTGCAGAACTAATCAAAGTCATAATATATACTAGCAATTGTAGTGCAATATTTGAAAAAGGTAGGAATTCACGTTGTTAAGCAATATTTTGTCCAAAACTTGTAAATTCATTGTAAGCACTAAGTAATGAGTGTTTAGCAGGTACATCTTGCAGGACCTGTACGGCATTATGTTTCGCACAGGTTTGAAAGTACTAATCATATTAATTTTCACGGATAATTGAGATCTTCTTTTCCTCGGAGTTTAGGAAATCACAGTTTAGGTATATACAGATAGATCATGAACTGACTTTTTAAGTTGTACGGCAGAAAATGTTGATTCTTGGGTGGATATAACAACACTTTGTTGCGAAGATTGCACATCTAAATGTGTTTGGTGACGCCTGCAACAATAAAAGTACCTATATTTAGTAACATTGTTTTTTTTGTATTTTTTTTTCTTGATTTGTTAAATAAATTTTTGTAAAACATGTTTAATATATCTTTTACTCTGTCTTGACTACCGAAAACTAAAACACATTGTATTTGGATTTAACTATTCATGGACTTTTTCCCATAATGTGGAAGCCGTTAACGGAAAATATATGGCAATTTAATGTCCTCCAAATTTTGGTTCTCAAAATATAATAGTAACTATGAAAACGTTTAGTATTGTATTTTTACCGCTATTGATGATTGTAATAATTTTATCTACCTAGAAGTAGAAACTAATGTAGGTGCTTCAGATGGTGGAATATTTACCAAGTCTGATTTAAAAAAAGCCATACAAGAAAATCGGTTAAATTTACACATTTAATATAGTTTATTGGGTGATAAAGCATTTTCATTCCAAATGTATCTTCGACTTTTCCGTGATAGGCACATAGTTGAGAATGCATTTGACATTTTATCAACACGTTGTCGTGTATTTCGATCACCCACATTACTTGAACCTAAAACAGTATTTAAACAGGTTAAAGTTATCTGTGTAATACACAATTGAATAAGAAAACATAAAAGCCGTGAACAGATAACTGTTAATATTAAAGACCACCAAACTTTATTTTCTTTGCCTTTTTTTTGGGCCTTTGAAAACCTAATTTACCAAGAATTTGCTAAGTGGCTTACCGCTTATCGTGATAAATTTTTACTTATCTTTATATTGACGGCTTGTTCAAGGAAGCATATGGCAATGCAGGTACGGTGTAAAATGCCTGTTGCGGATTTAAAGGTAGTAGCATCTGACCGCTGAACTCTGATATATTTCCGGATTATATTTACAAGCTCCTCTGAAACTACAAATATATTGACGAAAGACAAATACAATGAATAGTCTCCTCAACCTGCAACATTAATGAGCTTTGCCAAGAAGTCGGAGCAGAACAAAACCTTCAAAACAAGATGGTTCAGTTCCTGTGACAAATACGTATCAGCCGAGGTTCCATGATTCGATATCTAAAGAAAATATTGCAACCAAAATACCAACACCTACCGACCTACAAGCTGAAAATTCATGTTAGGTTCAAACAACAAACTCCTGTCTAGAAGATGTTTTAACTGCTGCTCCTACCAACAAACGGTCATTGTCTTCTTCACTTTCTATTCGTATTAGGCATTTTTCTTAGGTAAAAAAAATAATGTTTTTTTAGTGACCTAGGAAAACGTAAACCAAAAATTCGACAAAGCTCGTTGGTGTTGACCTGTACTACTAATTTGTTGGAAATACAATTTTAAAATAAGCTCAAAGTTTTTTTTAATAAAAAAAGAACGCAAAGCCACCAAAAACATATTTAAAAAAAAATGATAAAGAGAATGTTCTCTATGTTTTCCATAAAGATAAAGAGGACTGTGCTTGAATTTACTGTAACGACCTTGATCCAAGATCTTAATACGGAGCAGACTGGTGGCAGTGCTCATAATGTTCCCTTTGGGCTTATTCTTTTGTATTGTTGTTAAAAAAAAACTAATGGTTTCATTTGTAAATACGGTAATAATTTTGTTGCTTATACGTTATGTATGTTATATATAGGTTATCACATATCTCCACGAATGCGTATAGTTAACAATAAAGTAATTACTTCCCTCTTGTTAAGTCGTTTTATCTGTTGATTCTAATTAAGCCTTGAGGTTAATATTACTTTAAGACACTCTATTTTTATTTTTTTATTACTTTAAGACACTCAACCCATACATGATCAGATTCCACAAGAGAGAAGATAAAACTAACGTAACGTTCTGTATATCACACGGCTTATTAGCATGTTTTTTATATTTCTTTAAGACGAATCGCCCTTGTGATCTCTTCGTAGAAGTGTTGTTGCTTCCTCTATATCGGAAATAAACTCAACTTTAGCTATTGGTTTTTAAGAACATATTCCATCTTCTGTACGAGATGATGCAATGCCGTTTCTGTACAGAGTTCTACTCGGTAAGTACTGTTCCTGATATATTGGCATTTCAACCAATTTAATTACCGTTGCAGGTACAATAAATTTTGATCGATATACGTATATTGGTTCTCTTTCTAGCGGATTTTTTTTATTTCAATTTTAACGTGCTCGGCTACTATTACTATGGCCACTTACACAGGTACCATAACATGAATATTCATTACACAAACATTAAGTGTTACATTAAGGGGACAGTCTCATGCGAAACTTTCAAAAAATCAAAAAATTTTTTTTTACATAAATCGCTTCCATTTACATTCAAAAACTCCCTTCTAAAATTTTAAAAAGAAATTCCCACCAGAATATAAGTTATAGATATTTTATTAACGTCAGCTACGCACGTATCAAAACCGGTTTCTCTCCGCGCGGCGAGCGCGAGGCTCCAGCTGTTCTTGCTTTTGTATATATGTTGTATATACGTTGGGTATGTATTAGTGATTCATTTTTATATAGTATGTATATCTGTATAACGTTTGGCAGTTACTATACACATTTGGAATTTTAAATCCTGAACATGGGATTTTTTACAAATACTAAGATTCTCTGTGTTGCATTTAACCAGTGTAAATTTCTTTATAACGTCGCGATGTTTTATAACTAATTTATTTGTTCCACTGGATTACTTCTCCTCAGCGGTTTGTAGTAGCGTATATGGCACGCCGACAGTGTTTACCCGTCTTCCGTTTTGGCCGTTATGGCTCCGTTTACCGATTTTTCCTGAAAGTCCGGTTTTGTGCAGATAATCATTAATGTTTTATTAACATCAATTTTGTTTGTGTTCATTAGGTATTATTTAAGTTATAAAATTTATACTTAAATACATTTATTATTCCAAATATTGTTTATAATTGCAAATTAAAAAGAGTGTAATATAATTATTTTATTTTTAAAATTCCTTTTTATTTTTAATTTTAGAAATCAACTTTTTTTTCAAGCCTTTTTGACAATAAAACAACTATTTTTTTAGTTATAAAATATTTTCATATGTACATTTATAAATAAGTAGATACGTTTTTGTTAAATTGACATGCGATCTAGGTGTGTTCCGTTTTTACACTTACACTGTCAGCATCGCGGCATGAATTGAGACTCCAGTCGAACTAATGAATTTATTATAAAACGTCAAATCAAAAAGAAAAAAGTTTTACAAAGCCATTTACAACAACTGTTGGATGAAGAGGGACCTCAATATTTACTAGGAATGGCCGATTAAACGTGAGTATAAAGTTATCAGCCTTTAATTCACAAAAATTATGTAAAAAAAACTTAAATTCTTAAATGCTTTTTTCTCAAAAGTAACATTTTCAAACTGGTCAGACGCTTTTCTCCGAACCTTCTTAACCGATTTTAAAAAACCAAAAATTTTCGAATGTATATAAAAAAGACTAGATAATAAACCTTTAAAATATTTAAAAACCACCCTCCCTTTTATTATGTATGGGTAAATCCACCCAAAAATATAGCGATTTTTCGACTTTTTTGAAAAAATTTGTATAAACTCTTGAAAATAATACAATTTGCATATTTTAAAGGTTTATCATCTAGTTTTAAGTCTCACCAATACAACCCATT